CTTGGATCAATCGTGTCAGGATTGTATTACAATGTTCGATTGTGATTATAGAGTATATCGAGTTGCTGTAGGGCATTATGATGTTAGACATTATTGCAAAAGGTATTTAATTTTGTACAAATTTGTCGAATGCATCATCTATATTAATCGAATGCAAAAAATGTGTATGTTTTTGACACGTTTGATTTGAGTGAAAAAGCATGGATCCATGAGTTTTTGACATGAAATATTGAAAGGAAAAATGTGTATGTTGAATATGATGATGGAATATAGTTCATGACTCTTTCACAAGTGAGTGAAAAATGGTAATATTTTTGACATGTTCGAAATAAGTGAAAAACCATGGAAAATTTATGGTTATATGCATGTTATATGTGTTTTTGTAAAGAAACTAGCAAACCCGACGAAATCCGTTTCGCCACCAGATGGTTTCGTGAGAAAGATGAAGAAATTTTTTGTTTGTTTTATATTTGAAAAGGAAAAATTTGATTTTATTATACAACAGTAATGAATTTATTTCGATTACAAAAATGAAGTGGTTTTTAGTTGAACTTCTCTAAGTAAATGAAAGTGAATCCGCAAATTATCTGTTTCATTGAAGTGCTCTTTGGTAAACCACATTTTTTGTTTTTTGGTCCGACGTTAACACAAACAAAGCGGATGGTTTTCCAACTCGTGAACAGGCAACAAATAACTGCCCATGTGAAAAACAATGATTTTCTAAATAATCTATTTGAAATTTATCCTACAAACACTAAGCAATTGGCCTTGCGACTTGTTATTGCGAACGCAAGGCGAACTGGAAATTGCAATCGTTTGAAGTCGAACGGAAGACCAGTCGGAATCATTGGTATGTCACCAAATCGCCAGCAATTTGTGATTGAATGGTGAAATTGAGTACGTGTACATCATTATTCTGTGCGGCAAGAATTGCTCGTTGACTTAATCAAGCATAATTCTGATAATTGTCACTAATGCCATTACTCGAATTTTCAATTACGGTGCGTGAAGTTCCAGCAGCTTGCATTAAGGCACAATGCCATGCACAACTAATATTCTTAGCTATAAACCTTGCGGAGCCCAAGACCTTTCCAACGAATGCTAAATTGTCGAAATCGGTTCGTGCGTTCTGGAGTTATTTCGTCAGGAAGGAAAACCCGACTTATTTTTATATATATATAGAAGATAAAAATTAAAAATTGACCGAAAGAATAAAAAAACTTATGAATTTATATATATGTATATATATATATATATTGTATATATATATAATATCTTAATATACTCGTATATATTGAAGTCAAAACTTAAGTTATTTTAAGTACATAATTTTCTCATTTTAAATATAATAAATCATGAATAAATCCATATAATAATAAAACAAAATTACTTTTATTTTTAGTTTTTGCCGCAACTACCGAACTGTCGAAATAGGCGTACCAACATAAAAGGTAAGTGAATATTTAACTTCTTTGATAATCAAAATTAAAACTTTTTTTAAATAGCGATATTATATTTTATTTCCGATCAAAATATTTTGAAGTGAAATTTAGATATAAAATTGAATTTTTGGTTTTATAAAATTGATAAAATCTCTTTAATAGCACCAAATTCAAAATCCTGCATGATATTAAATCAATAATTAAGATTACGATAATTGCGATGTACGTCTTAAATTTGTCTGAATTCTTATAATCAAACCGCTTTTCATAAGCCTATAATATTTATGTCATATAATAATATGAAGTTAGTTTAGACCATAAAGTTGTATCAGTTGCATGAACATGGTCAAAGTAAATTTTTTCGACAATTTTGTGCAAAGTTAATCTTTACCAAAAACTTACTAATTTATATTTTAAATTAATTGAATAAAAGAATTAAATGCAAGTTTTTGGTTTTTAGCAAAATGCCATTTGCACTTAGCATGTGTTTCTTCAAAAAAACCGAAAACTTTGAAAATAAAAAAAGAGTATATTTATATAAATATATATTTAGTTCTCCGTTATTATTTTATATACATATATAATTATTCTAATATTTTTTTAGACATATACATTATTTAAAAAAAAAAACATTATAATTCTTACTAAAATTGGTCATATAAACTATTTATATTTTCATTATCGTCCAGTTAAAATATTATTTCAGTAATAGATAAAACCATTTCACAAAATGATAAAACTTATAATTAATATTAACAAATTCTATTCCTCACATTTAGTTAATAATATAATTAAAAACATATTAGAACATATACTAACTAATAACATCAAAAATTAAAATAATTTCTCTTCTATTTCAAGTAAAACTATTTCTAATACAAATAGGCTCTTTGTCTTTTATCAATAAATATATAAGGTCATTATTATTTTTTTCGTATTTAGACAGTATATATATATATATATATATATATATATATATATATATATATTTATATATATTTAAAGTTATTTTCTGAAGGGTTGATAGTCAAGTTGATAGACATGCGGTTTTTTAAAATTACAAAATCATAGAATATTACGAAATTTTCTTTTTTTTTCGACGTCATTTTTTAACCAGGGGGCGCCAAAGTCGGCCTTGCAAAATCGATCTCTTTTGCGGTGGCACAGATAAATCCGTTGCGCACCGCCTGAAACAAAAAAAAAACGAAGAAGTTTGTTACGTGAAGAAGAAGTTTGAATCCAGTCCCCCTACCGAAATGAAAGAAAAAAAGCAAGAAGGAAAAAAATGGCAGCTATTTTAAAAAAAGTGTTAAAAAAGCCCTTTTTTGGGGGGCGAAAATTTTTTGCGTAATGTTATCAAGTTGTTTGAGGTAGGGGGGCTAGGTATTGCAATGGTGAACAAATTAAAATCCGATCCGACTTGCAGTTTTTTTTTAATTTGTGGCACCGCATTGAAAAAAGTCAATTTGAGAAAAGCGTATTTAAAGTTTTTGATATAATGTACTAAATACACCATTTAGTTCAAAGATGCTGACACATTAAAAAGGTCATGTGCATGAGGTATTACAATAAAAAAGAGAGCAGCTGGCATACAATAGCTCGCGGAGCGATGAAAAAAACGGTTTCAGAGGATCATACATATAGAGATATAGATATCTATAACTTCGTCAAAAAAATAGATACTGAGATGATTTTTTTTTAAATAATTCTAAGCTTTTTAGCTTTCATAATATCAAAAAATCTCAAAATCAAAAAAAAAAAAATAAAAACCAAACAACTCCCTTAAAATATTATCAAAATTAACCCCCTCCAACCGAACAGTACGTGTATTTTACAAAAAAAGAAAAATTGCAACATTTTTGATTTTTTTAAAAAAATGTTTTGATTTAAAAAAAAAGATCAGGTAAAAAATAAATACAGGTGATATTTATTTTAAATAAAAGTGATCTCCGATGTGATATTTACCCCTCCCTTAAAACCTTACGTGATTAATGGATACATAACATATTTTCTGTCAAGCTTTTATCGTAAGCGTATTTAAACGTGAAATATGACCCTAACATTTTATTATTGCTATTTCATTTAATTCTTATAAATATAAGATAACATAATCACATAGATTTATCCTAATATATATGTTTCATGTTTACATTTCAAATAAAACAGTTTCTTTGTACACCCTTCAATAAAAACATGACAGAAAATATGTCACAAGAAATACTTGCGTCGTGTGTGACGCCAGTATTTCTTGTAACATATTTGTTGTCAATCTTTTATCGCAAGGTGGGCGTATTTGAATGTGAAATATGTCTCTAGCATTTTATTATTATTATTCTTTGGAATTCTTATAAATATGAGATAACATGTTTTATGTTTACATTCCAAATAAAATAGTTTCTTTGTACACGCTTACGATAAAAACTTGACAGAAAATATGTTACAAGAAATACTTGCATCGTGTGTTACACCAGTGTTTCTTGTAACATATTTTCTGTCAAGCTTTTATCGTAAGGTGAGCATATTTAAACGTAAAATGTCTTCAGCATTTTATTATTTATTTAATTATTATTTCATTTAATTCTTACAAATATGAGTTAACATAATCACATGGATTTATCCTAGCAAATATGTTTTATGTTTATATTCCAATAAAACAGTTTCTTTGTACACCCCTACAATAAAAACATGACAGAAAATATGTCACAAGAAATACTTGCATCATGCGTTACACCAGTATTTCTTGTAACATATTTTCTGTCAAGCTTTTATCATAAGGTGAGCGTATTTAAACGTAAAATGTCTTCAGCATTTCATTATTTTTTAATTATTATTTTATTATTATTTTAGTTAATTCTTATAAATATGAAATAACTTTACATAGATGCTTATTGATACATATATGTTTTATGTTTACATTCCAATAAAACAGTTTCTTTGTACATGCTCACCTTATGTGAAAACTTGACAGAAAATATGTTACAAGAAATGATGGCGTCGTGTGCACGTGCCTTATTTATTTAGATTTTTCTATTATATGATAACATAATAAAAAACGAATCAGAGCACTCACAAATTAACAAAATTAATAATTTCTTTTCAATAAAATCTATTTTTTTAATGGCTCAGGAATCAGCGTTTCCATAGCAATAATATGTTATGGTCTGGTCTATTTTATTGGAGAATTGATCTCTTTGTTTATAAAGTGAACTATGCAATGATTAGCATACATTTTACAAGTTTATATTTACAATCTATTGCAAGAAAATGATAATATATTTATAATTCTAAACTCTTAAAAATAATTAAAACTTTGATTAATTTTAAATACATTTTTAATGCAAATCATCCTGACAAACTTCATTGTGAAAAGTGTAGACCTTAGAAGTTTTGCAGAATCTTGTTTTATTGCAATATATTGTTTTAAGTGCTAATAAAATTAGAAACTTCTGATCATAATAATTTCTGTTTTACTTCTCATTAGTTCAAAATAAAAATGTATTACTATGTAAATCTAATTTAGCACTTAATATTTAACCTACAGCTTCCATTTTCTTTTTTTTATTTTCTATATTGTTTTAATATAAACATTTTAATATTCATTTATCATTGCACATATTAATTCCTATCATGAATCACCTTATGTTTTTTCAAACTACCCGCATATGTAAACAATTTCTCACACACATCACATTTAAAACTCTGCACCCCCGTATGAGACACCATATGTCTCTTCAGCTTAGACGTGTTCTGAAAAGCCTTATCACAGATCCCACAATTATGAGGCTTCTCCCCCGTATGAACCATCATGTGCTGTCTCAAAGCAGCCGCTTTAAGGAACCTTCGATTACAGACATCACAACCAAAACGTCGTTTTTCACTGTGCATTTGCATATGGGTGTTTAATGTGTCGATGGTGGTGAAGGCTTTATCACATATTTGACACTCGAAAGGACGTGAACTGTGGTGGGATATTAGGTGTCTTTTGATGTGATCGGGTCTTCTGAAGGACTTGTCGCATGTCTCACATTTATAAGGACGGTCTCCAGTGTGGCTGTTTATGTGGTATGTTAGGTTGCTCAAGCGAGTAAAGACTGTGTCACAATACATGCATTTTAATAACTTTCTTTTGGAGGTTTTTTGGTTACTCGAGGCAGGGAGAGATGGTTCTTCTTGTGGTTGGAACTCGATTGATGGTGGTTGGTCTTGAGAACATTCTGAATTTATATCTGGGAAATTATTAGTGTCTTCTTCTTCAGAACCGTATTCACTTTGACATTCTTCTATTGTGTATTCTTCAGGTTCTTTTTTGATAAATTGGACATCCAGAATTGTATTTGCTTCTTCTGACATTTCCAACAAAAAAATCTTGGAACCTGAATTAAATCTTTGATAAATAAAATTTAACACAAAATTTTTATTTAAATATATTTCTTTAGTATTATTAATTATTTAAATATATTTTTTTTATTTGTTTTGACATTTCCATGTGTTGCTGTCAAAACTTGCACATAACCTAACACCAAAATACGTAAAAAACTTCATTTAAACCTCGGATTATAATAATGTTTATTTATTTATTATTTTGAAGTTTAATATTTTGTTTTTTGCCAAGTTTTATAATTGATTTGAAAATAAAATCCTTTTTTATATTATTATAGACTTTCTCTTTGAGTTGTGACAACTGTCAAACTGTCAAACATGGCGGCGCTAGAATCCATTTTGAATACTAGACAGTGGCTTCCAACCTTTTTGTGCCGTGCCTCTCGTAAAAAACTTTCTTTAAAATTCGAATTACAATAATATTTATTAAGTTCCCGAAGGAGAAGTTTATGTTTTCATAAAAAATCCGATTCGCTGATTTTATGATTTCTCGACGTTTCAAGCCATTCTTAATCGAATGAGACCAAATTAAATTAACTTAAAAAAATTAGTAAAAAAAGTAAGCAAAAGTTTATACCCAAAATAAGCAAAATAAGCAAATCAATAACCCCCCCGCCCCCTTAAGTGCTTACGTAATACTTGAACGGCCCCATACTCCGAGTTAACGTGTTCGTTTGTTTTCAAACATGTTTAATAAATCCACTTGGAATACTTCTAATCACTCATAAATTAATTTATTTTTTATGGATTAAGTCGATTATTTACACATATTGGGAAAATCATGTAACTTGCCTCAATGCAAAATAAGAATACCAACTAGTTTTTCATTTATTTCTTGTACTTTCTTGTATAATTATAAATATCTCGAATATTTCTAAAAAACCTCATCGATTTTAGTTTTTGTCATCATAGTAGACACATGAAAGTATAAAATAGTATAATAACAGCATTCTATAATAAACAAAAATAGTTTTAAAAAATCACAAAACTTCTACTTTAGTTTATGAGTATTGTATAATAAACTCAAATGAAACATCGATGTTGTCTTAGCCATGTATTTTTCATAATAATAATGAATAAAATTAAAAGCTCAAAATGGCGGATCAAAAGCTCAAAATGGCGGATCAAAAGCTCACCGTTAGACATAATTAATTAAATTTTATCCAAGTATTAATACTCACAATTGTGAGTCACATAAACATATATCTGTATGCACATATACAGTTGTTTACAATTTTGGTGTTAAACGATTCAGAAAGACTTGAACCAAAGTGGATTTATTAAAAAACATATTTTCTTCTTCAGATTGTTAAAAATGTGTCGACAATTAAAAAAACAGTTTTATAAATAAATATATTTATATATTGTTTTGTTTTTTATATACATAAATAATATTTTGGCTTTTCGCAACTAATAAATAATAAGAGTATTAGAACTTAAAATAAACTTAACCCTTTCCACTCGCGAATTGCGAGATTTATATTTATTTTGCAGCCGGAGTGAAGGCATCCGAGTGGAAAGGGTTAATTTTATATTTGTACATTATTTTAACAATAAACATTTATATACAAAAAATTGTCTCTATTTATGGAAGTATAATAATAATATAATTTAAGATAAATAAGTAATAAATTTATTTTCCTATTCGATATGAATCATTTTCCATCAGTCTTGTATTTCTACCTCGTAATGTGTTTTTTTATGCCTTGTGAACTTATTTGACGAAGTAAACTTCATAAAGCATATTTCACATTCAAAATCTGTACAATGTGTTTTCATGTGTTGTTTTAAATTATCAGATCGTGCAAAAGCTCTCTCGCACACATCACATTTAAAATTCTTGTCCCCCACATGACTGCTCATGTGTTTCTTTAAATATCTTTCCAATGTAAACTCCTTTTCGCACAAAACACATTTAAAAGGTTTTGTTTCTAAATGATGGTGCATGTGAGTCTTCAAACTATCCATTCTGGTAAAGGCTTTACCACACACTTCGCACTTGAAAGGTTTTTTTGGACTATGGATAGCCATGTGTTTTTTTAAATTAGTTCTTCTTCTAAAGGCTTTGTTGCATACCTCACATTCAAAAGGCATTTCTCCGGTGTGTATTTTTAAATGATGCTTTAAAGAATCTGACCGGACAAACATTTTACCACATGTACCACATTTATGAGACTGTTCTCCAGTGTGTGAAGTCATGTGTTGTGAAACATGTGCTTTTTTGATGAATGTCTTAGGGCACAGTGTGCACTTGAAAGGACGTTTACCAGAATGTGTTATCATGTGTTGTCTTAAGTTCTTTTTTTGTGTAAAGGCTTTGTTGCATACGCCACATTCGAAACATGTCGCTCCTGAATGGATTAGTTGGTGTTTTATTAAGTCGTTTGTGTTGGAGAATGTTTGGGGGCATATATCGCAGGCATAAGGGTTTTGTCTGGTGTGGGTTCTGGTGTGTACATCTAGAATATCTGCACGCATGAATACTTTTTGGCAATAAGTGCATGTGAAGGATTTATCTTGGTCATCAGAATCATTTTCAATAATGATTTCTTGTTCGAGTGTTGCTTGTACATATTGTGATATTTGGTGGTCGTCAGAACCATTTTCAACACCACTTTCGTCTTCTTCTGTATAATCTAGAGGTTCTGCTTCAAAATCTAAGGAATATTTTTGTCTGGACGTTGTATTGTTCATTTTGACATAATTTGTTAGGTTTTCTGGTAAAGAAAAAGAATCTATTTCTTGAGACATGTTGCACATTGTCAATAATTCCTAATATCTGTCATCTATTTATTTTACTTTTGCATTTCAAGTACTAGAAGACTACTTATACATCATATTTAGCCTTAATTATAATTTAAAAATAATGTAAATAAAACAAAATGCATTTATCTGTCAAATTTACTTAGCTGTCAAAACTGTCAAATATGGCGTCGTGCTGTAATTAACATTAGGCGCCGGGCAAGTCTGTAAAAATGTCAGTGAAAACGACGTGACTTTTCATGGTGGCCAAAAAGTGCAACTGTTGGCGCAAATAATATGGCGTTTGACAGGTTTTATTTGGTATTTTTTGACCTATTTTTATATATATATATCTATATATATAAAAGAGGATCGCTTTATGTGCTAACACTTATAACTCACGAACGGCTGAACCGATTTAGATGAAAATTGGCAGGGAGGTAGTTTAGAGCCAGGAGAAGGACTTAGGATACTTTTTATCCCGATTTTCAGTTTAATTGATAGTATATTTATATATATAAAAAAAATACTAGCTAGCCCGGCCACGCGTTGCTGTGGCTCAGTAATTGGTGGCAGAGAGGTAGTTTAGAGCCCGTTTTTCATTCTAATTCAGAATTAATTATTTATAAACTATCCATGTAGTTTATTCAATCTATGATACTATATTTCTATAGAAAGTGTATAAAACTTCCAGTTTGATTGAATTGACAAAACATAGACAAACTAATGGGGTTTATTGTTTTTATAATACCACATTGTATATAGCATTCAAACAACACGTCCTTATACACTTAAAGTATTATTTTTTTGATTCTTTACAAATTGTTTAGAATATACCTTACTTAGCAAAACAACGTTTGCCGGGTCAGCTAGTATATATATATATATATATATATATATATATATATATATATATATTTAAGGAATTTACTTTCGAACTACTTATTTATACTTGTTTTTCTATGTGTGCTTCGGGGGCGAGGGCGAGGCACAAAGGTTCAATTTAACTTTGAGCAAATATAAACTATATTGTGAAAACCATAACAATTATATCACAACAAATAACAAATTTCAAACGAACAATTATCTGACTACGTTCAGTAAAACTGCCTTCTAATTTATCACTGTAGAAATGTGCTTTTTTATGTCTTTCAAAAATTTGTTATCTAGTCCTTTTTACCCTATAGGCGGGGTAACTTGAAACGGCCAGATGGCAAAGAGGTTTAAAATCTTATTTTAATTTTAAAGAATTTTACAAAATGATTACATTTTTAACTAATGCTAAAAATCTACCAACGGAAGAAAATACTTTTATTATGGATTTTCAAAGATTACCGTTTATCTCCCCATTCTCCCGATAGCAGAGTCTTCAAATCAAGATTATAGCTGGTTATACATCTTTTTCTCTCTACTTTCAAATATTATTGTTAAACAATGCTTAACTTTACTGGTTTTGACACATCGATGGTGGACCTTTTTAACCCCGGACCTTCATATATTACTATCTATTCTTCGATAAATTCTAGGAAATTATAACTGGGAAAATGTTATTCGACAAAATGTCCATTTAATCGATACCAAATTTAGGTTCTGAATTTAAATAACATAAATAAAAAATAATATAACCTAGAAAATGTTTTATAAATACCAATGAGTATAATTATACAAATGAGATCTTACAGAGCACCGTGTTTGAGAAAAATATGATTTGCAAAAAAAGAGTGCTACAACGCCAAAAAATGCATTTTCATATTAACATTTAAAAAAAGTTGATATTTTGAATCTCTAGTAACACTTGGGGCCCGTTTACTAACGTTTTTGTATATAAATAAAACTACAAACAAAACTACTTACTACAATTTAATCATAATTAAATAATATTCACGTTAAACATCCTATTAAACGTAATTGTACATCATCTGCCAAAAACGTTTGACATTTCACGTAATAGCCACCGTCCATTGTTTTAATTAAATTACGCTTTTACAAAAATTTCAAATTAAAAATGTAAAGTTTCTACGCGATTTTGAAATAATCGAGTTTTACCGAATCATTTGATCGAGGGCTCCATTTTTAAGATAAATAAAAACTGTGATTATAAAAAACAATAACCATCTTTATCTTTAACAGAGACATAAGTTTGATCATAGATAAAACAAGAGTATTATTGTATGAGTTCGATATTAAGACCAAGTACTCTATCATTATACCAAGTGAATCGTCTAATTTTTATTTTAACAAGCGTCAAAAAAACTACTCATTTCTTCAAACTTTGATGACTTTTTAAAATTAAACTACTTATCGTAGAGCCGTAGTTTTAGTATGATCTATAAGACTATGGTATCTACCGTCAAAAAAATCATAAAATCGTGAAAAAAATTTTTTTTAACACTTTACTACAAGAAAACGGTCCGGCCAATCTTTACCAAAAACTATTCAGTACGATTCCTAACCAATATCTTTCGAACAGTTTTTGTATTTTCAAAATCAATTCAGATTTGCGGGATAAAACGTGGACGAAAGTTTTTTCCCGTTTTTGCGATTTACAAAGAAACGGCTTGACTGATCGTCGCGCAAATTTCATAAACGCTACTCCTCATCTAACTCGATGATCATCGAATAGAATTGTTTAATCAGATTGGATGAAACAGTTTTAACAATTAATATGTTATTACTAATTATTAACTTCCCGTAGGGTAAGTTATAGTAATCGCAAAAGAATCGAAAATGAAAAAATTTATATATCTTTACGTTTCAAAGGTTTCTGAATATTTTGACATACCTTAGAAAAAATGGATGTATGTGTGCGTGTGTGCGTGTGTGCGGATACAAATTTTTGTCGGCGATTTCGGGAACACCGATCAACCGATTTGAATAATTCAAAAAACATTCGATTCGTATTGATAAGGAGACGTGCTGATTAGTTTTTGGCGACGGCAGGTCTAGCCGTTCCGAAGATATAAGGCAAAAAGTGCCAGAAACGGTAACTCAGTTTTTAAGAGAACGGAGCGTCCGATTTGAATAATTCAAAAAACATTTTACTTGTATTAACAAGATGAAGAACTGATTTTCATGAAGGCAGACCTGAAGGCAAAAAAAAAAATTTGTCAAAAATTTATAGTTTCTCAAAAATCTAATTTTTTAGAGTAATTTTTTTTCAAAAATGTTAAACTTTAAAGCCCCACTAGTTAATTTTAAATTTGTTAAGATTGTCATTCGTTATTGACAGGTAGAGCATAGACACACTTTTGTAAAGTAAAGCGATTTGATACAAGTGACATGTCTACAAAAACTTTGTCTATGCTCAAAATGTCAAAACAAAGTTATTTTATTATTTCAAATGCAACTAGTTTTAAAGAAATAAAATCATTATGTCAGCAATATTATTTATCAAGATATTTATAAATAGCAACCAATAATATTAAATAATCTTTGTAAATAGTTAGAATATATCAAAATGTCTGAAGAAACAATTCTTTCTATGAAAGAGCAGATAATTAAAACAGAGCCTCCAGAAGACATAACACATGGGGTTCAGTTTGATGATCTTGGTAAGATTATTAAGTCTGAATTATGTTTAGAAGATGATGAAAATTATCTTGAAGTAACTATAGACAAAGAGGTCAAACGAGAATTACTCGAGACACCTTCTTATGAATGCGACATTTGTAATAGATAATTTAGGAAACCACTTTACTTAGAACAGCACATGGCAGTTCACAATCTTAAATGTGCATATTGTCCAAATATTTTTGTAGACGCAAATGACTTAAAGGAACATCTTCAAATTCATTTTGGTAAAAAACCCAAAAAATGTTATACATGCAATAGAACATTTACTAAACTGGCTCTGTTGAAACGACATATGCTGATTCATAGTGGAGAACGCCCCAATAGATGTGATTTATGCGATAAAGACTTCAGTCGATCAGACAATTTAAAACGGCACATGGTTCTTCATACCAGTTATCGGCCTTACAAATGTAAATTGTGCGAAAGCACTTTTAAAGATCCAAGCAATTTGATACAACACATGGTAATTCACAGTGCAGTACGTCCCCATAAATGCAAACTGTGCAGAAAAAAATTCAAGCATTCGAGCAGTTTGAAAAAACATATGCTCATTCATAATAGAGAGAAATTATAAATATGAAATATGGAAACGTGTCTAAATGAAGTGATGAAGAGACACGTAAAAGGAATTAACTCTGTGATTTTTATATTTGAGACATTTAAAAGTATTTTATTTTTATATTGTTATTAAACCATTATATGCAATAAAATATATGAATTAATATTATGTAATTAAAATATTTTTTTATTATTGAAAATAATTCTGAGTTTAATTTTAATTCTAGTTAAAATACCTGAAATGTATAATTTTAACATTGCAATTCAGTTTATATGATTTTTAGAATTATGAGATAAGGTATTTTATTCTAACTACCTTTCAAAGGGGATTATTAAGTTTTGAATATTTACTTTTCATGTAAACTTATATGAACATCATCGATCAATTTTTAAGCTCTCATATTTTGCCTATAAAATACAAATAATGAAAGTTACAGTATTTATAATAATATATTTGATAACATTTAATATTCTTCAAATATTTTATTACAGAACGGGAAGTCCAGCAATTTACCTCAAGGCACGATGCCATACACCACTAGTTTATTTATGAAATTAATTTTTTTACTTGATTGGTCCAAAATTTTATTTACATAATATGAATTAATATTATGTAAATAAAATATTTTTTTTATTATTGAACATAATTCTGATTTTAATTTTATTTCTAGCTAAAGTACTTGAAATAATAAATTTTAACATTGCAATTCAGTTTATGTAATTTTTAGAATTATGAGATAAATGCTTTCATTCTAACTCCCTTTCAAAGGGGATTATTAAGTTTTTACTTTTCATCTAAATTTATATGAACATCATCTTAACAATTAACAATTATAACAATTTTTAAGCTCTTATATTTTGCCTATAAAATACAAATAATGAAAGTTACAGTATTTATAATAACATATTTGATAACATTTAATATTCTTCAAATATTTTATTAGGGAACGGGAAGCCCAGCAATTTGCCTCAAGGCACGATGCCATACACCACTAATTTATTTATAAAATTAATTTTTTTAACTTGAATGGTCCAAAAAGCATTCGATTTCTATTGATAGAGAGAGATGTGCTGATTTGTTTTTGGCAAAGGCAGGTCCGACCGTTACGGAGAAACGGAGCAAAGAGTGCAGAAAATAGAAATCAAGTTTTTGAGAGAACGGAGCATCCGATTTGAATAATTCAATAAACATTCAATTAGTAATGATTGGCAGAAGTGGTGATTAGTTTTTGGCAAAGGCAGATCGAGCGGTTTCGGAGATACCGAACTAAATGTGCGAAAAATGGCAGTTTTTGAGAGAACTAAGCATCCGATTTGAATGATTCAAAAAACTTTCTGCTTGTGATTTTCGGAACTTCAAAATTTTAATTCGCTAGTTCCAGCAATTTGCCTCATGGCACGATGCCATGCACCACTAGTTGTTTCAGATTTTGAGTCGAGTCGTTAATTTACTTCACGAAAGAGAAGCTTATGTTTTCATCCAAAAATCCGATTCGCTAATTTTATGTTTTCTTGACGTTTCAAGCCATACTGAATCGAATGAGACAAAATTTGGAAAAAGTATATGTGTAGAGATTTTTTGCCGTAAATCTACGTCTTCTCAAAAACGGCTGAACCGATTTCAATAAGTTAAAAGCCATTCGATGTATCTGGATGAGGACTAGCGCGACGATCAGCCAAGCCGTTTTTTTGTCCACGTTTTGGCCCGCAATTCTGAATAGATTTTGAAAATTATTAGTTGTTCGAAATATATTAGTTGGGAATCGTGCTGATTAGTTTTTGGTAGAGATCGGCAGGGCCGTTTCCTTGAAATAATGTGTTAAAAAAAATTTTTTGGCGATTTTTTTGAATTTTTTTTGACAGTGGATACCATAGGCTTATAGATCATACTAAAATATTACGGCCCTACGACAAGTCGTTTAATTTTAAAAATTTGTCAAAGTTTGCAAAAATTAGTATGGTTTTTTGGCGTTTTTGAAAATTAGAACTTTCATCGACGTTTGCTTAAAAACGCCTGAACCGATTTCAAAAATTTAAAAACCATTTGATGTATCTTGATGAGGTTTATCATTTCTCAGTTTTGTGCGATGTGAAAAAAAAATTGTCCACGTTTTAGCCCGCAATTCTGAATCGATTTTGAAAATTCAAAAATTGTTCAAAATATATTAGTTGGGAATCGACCTGATTAGTTTTTGTTAAAGATCGGCCGGGTCGTTTTCTTGTAATAAAGTGTTAAAATTTTTTGCGACGATTTTCATAATTTTTTTTGGTGATAGATATCATGGTCTTCTAGATAATACTAAAATATTACGGCCTTAACAATCGCTTAATTTTGAAAATTCGTCAAAGTTTGCAAAAATTAGTATCGTTTTTGGCGTTAGTCAAAATTAGAACTTTCATCGAAGTTTCCTCAAAAACGCCTGTACCGATTTCAAAAATTTAAAAGTCAATCGATGTATTTTGATGTGGATTATCTTTTCTCAGTTTTGTGGAGCGATCGGCCGAGCCGTTTCTTTGTAATTTGGAAATAAGTATTAAACGTCCACATTTAAGCTCATAGTACCAAATCGATTTAAAAAAATCAAAAACTGTTCGAAAGATATTAGTTGGGAATCGTACTGATTAGTTTTAGGTGAAAATTTACTAAGCCGTTTTCTTGTAATGAACTGTTGAAAAAAAAATTAAGCTGATTTGTATGGAAATTTTTTTGGCGATATATTATGGTCTTATAGAACTTACTGAAATATTACGGCCTTACGACAAGTAATTTTTAGTTTTTAAAATTCATCAAAGTTTGAGAAAATGAGTAGTTTTATTAGACGATTTACTTGGTATAACAATAGAGTACTTGGTCTTTGTACTTGGTCAATAGAGTACTTGGTCTTAATGAAAATACTAAACCATTAAAATCATACGGAAACTAGTTCGATTATAAAAATTATTGATTTGTGAAAATTTGCTTTTAGAGAATACTCCGAGTCAACGTGTTCGTTCGTTTTTAATTATCTGTAATAAATCCACTCGGAATACTTTTAATCACTCATAAATTAATTTATTTTTTATTGATTAAATCGATTATTTACACATATCGGGAAGTTTGTTGGAAAGTTTATGTAACTTGCCTCAAGGCAAAGTACCAACCATAGATAAAAGAAGAGTAGACCTACTGCATAGTTGGTGGTTATGCGATCACTTTGAGTGTGACATCTCTCCGAAAAACACGCTCTATGTTCCAAATGTCAAAACAATGTCATTTTATTATTACAGTTGTAAATTAAAGTAAATATAAAATCGTTCTTTTAATATTAAGAGATTATTAAAAGATTAATAAACAGCAAATAATTCCAATAAATTATTTTTGCAAACAGTGCTAATATATCAAAAAGTCTGGTAAAACAATTCTCTCTGCGAATGATCAGACAATTAATATTGAGCCACCAGAATATTCAGTGGAAGATATAAAATGTGAAATTATGGATGAATTAGAAGTTCTCGATGATATTATTGAGTCTGAATTGTGTTTTGAAGATAATAAAACAAGTCTGGAAAGTTTCATGGAGTCCAAAGTGACGATAGAAGAAGAAATCAAACAAAAATCATTCGAGACACCTTCTTACAAATGTAACATTTGTAATAGATTATTTGCAGAATTAGATAGTTTAAAACGGCATATGGTAGTTCACGAAATTAAATGCACCTCATGTTCAAAGACTTTTCCAAGTCCAAGTCAGTTCAAGGAGCATTTTCAAACTCGTACTAATGAGAAACCGTACAACTGTGGTAAATGTTGTAGGTCATTTAATCGTAAGAGTCATTTGAATGAGCATATGTATATCCATAGTGGAGAACACCCTTTTAGATGCAAAACATGCAAAAAAGGATTTTCATGTTTGAGCCGATTATCTTCTCACATGGCTGTTCATAGCAAAAAAAAACCTCATAATTGTGAAATTTGCAATAGGGCATTCTCACAATTAAGCAATATGAGAAGACACATGGTAATTCATACAGCAGAATATACTTTTAAATGCACAGAATGCGATAAAGCCTTTCGTCGTTCTGGTAATTTACAAAAGCATATGCTTATCCATACCGGGGAACTTCCTTTTAAATGTTTAATATGTGATAAAGCTTTTCGTGTTTCATATAGTTTAAAAGAACATATGCTTGTTCATACCGGGGAACGCCGTTTTAAATGTATAATATGTGATAAAGCTTTCAGTAAATCAATTAATTTAAAAAGACACATGGTTATTCATACTGGAGAACGTTCTTTTAAATGTAAAATATGTGATAGAGATTTCGGTCTATCAACTCATTTAAAACAACATATGCTTGTCCATACTGGAGAACGCCCTTTTATATGTGAAATATGTAATGGCACATTTACACGAGCATATTATCTGAAAAAACACATGGAGCACAATCATAGAGAAGAAAAACCTTAAAAACATGAAATATAATGAAGGATGTGATTTATATAATCGTCTGAATTTTATATTTTTATTAATCGTCTGAATTTTATATTTTTATTACTATTAAACAATTTATGTAGCAATAAAAGAATATATATTAATGTTTCCTGTGGTTTTCAATACTTATTACTATTTCAGAATTATATTATTCTCACAATAACAAGTTCTTAACAATCTAACATGATGTTATTCTTTGTTAATGATTTATTCTTTTTATATAAATTTAGAATGATGACTAGTTGTAAGTGGCATACTGCTTTGAGGCAAGTTGCATGAGCTTCTTGATATATTTGAAACAACCAGTATTTCATTAATAACTAGTTGGTATTGGCATTTTGCCTTGAGGCAAGTTAAATGAATTTCCCGATAAGTGTAAATAACTGACTTAATCAATAAAAAATAAATTAATTTATGATTTATTAAAAGTATTCCGAGTAGATTTATTACACATAATGGAAAATGAACGAACATGTTAACTCAAGAGTATTTTTTAAAAGCAAATATTCAAAACTCAACAATTTTTATAATCGAACCAGTTTTCGTAGGACTTTAATGGTTTTGTATGTTCATTAAGACCAAGTACTCTATCGTTATACCAACTGAATCGCCTAATTTTAATTTTAACAAACCTCAAAAAAACTATACTCATTTTCTCAAACTTTGATGAATTTTTAAAATTGAACTACTTGTCGTAAAGCCGTAATATTTCAGTAAGTTCTATAAGACCATGATATATATCTCCAAAAAAAGTTTTATCAAAATCGGCTTAAATTTTTGAAAGATAGTTAAAAGTAATTGAGCAAAGAATTAACTGATCTTTGAAGAAACATCATTTTTGATGTGAAAACATCAATCTTGAAATGATGTGAAGTTAGGAAGATACTTCCTAAATGTTGTGTAACTTCACAAATTCAAAAAATAATAATCATTGATGAAAATCAAAATTAACTTCTGAATACACACAACCCTGAAAGATATTTATATGTTAGCTGTAGTCAAGCCCTAAAAAAGCGTTTAAATTATATACCAATATTTCTTTATGAAATTAATTAAGTTAAGATAATTTCATTTTCTTGAAATTATGTAAATCCTTGATTGTTAAAAAAATTGATGTGTGTTTGTGTGTATTGGTGTATGTATGGATACAATTTTTAATTGCCCGTAGGGTAAGTTACAGTAATCGCAAAAAATTCGAAAATGAAAATATTTGTATATCTTTACGTTTTAGAGGTTTCTGAACATTTTGGCATGATGTGTGTGTGTGTGCGGATACAAATTTTTGTCGACAATTTCGGGAACACGGTACAACCAATTTTAATTATTCAAAAAACATTCGATGCCTATTAATAAGGAGACGTGCTGGTTAGTTTTTGGCAAGAGCAGGTCTATCCGTTCCGAAGATACGGGGAAAAAAGTGCCAAAAACGGTAACTCAGTTTTTAAGAGAACGGAGCGTCCGATTTTAATGAATTAAAAAACCTTTTACTTGTATATTGACAAGATGAAAAACTGATTAAAATTTTGGGTAGACAGGTCTAGTGGTCTCGGAGATGTAGTAAAAAAGTAAAAAAAAAGCCATTCGGCAGTCAAAAATTATTATTAGACATAGGCACATCAAATTATCAGATATTTTATGGGGATTTTAATAATACCTTTCAATTTTGTTTACATTTCTATGGGTTTTCTAACACCGTTTATCCGTTAGACGGCGGCGCGGCGCTTCGATATTTCGTCTCCATGCAGCTAAAGCAGTACGATTGCTTTGAAATAAAGTTCAAAATTTGCAAAATATGTGAAAACAAAGAAATCATTTTTTTTCAAAGTTTTTTTTTTCGAAAAAAGTATTTTTTTTTCAAAAATTTAAAGTTTCTCCAAAAACCTAATTTTCTCAAAGTTTAAAATTTTTTTTTTTTTTTTAAAAAAAATTTTTTGGTACGGGAATTTCCAGCAATGCCATGCACGACTAGTTATGAGTAGTTCTTAAGTATCTGAGCTGTAGATTATTAACATTCCTAAAAAAAATCCGATTCGCTAATTTTGTATTTTATTGATGTTTCAAGTCATTCTGAATCGTTCGACACCGACTAGTTAGTCGGTGTTTTCGGGAGCATCGGTCAACCGATTTAAATTATTTAAAAAAACTATTCAAAAAATTTTAATGATTAAAAAAACCTTTTGCTTGTATTGACGAAACGATTATTTTTGGGTTAAACAAAAAAAATTTTTTTAAGTTCTCGTAGGATAAGTTATTGTAATGGGCCGAAAATCGAAATTGAAAATTTTTACATTTCTCGACGTTTTGGAGGTTTCTGAACATTTTGGCATACCTTAGAAAAAATTGATGTGTGTGTGTATGTATGTATGGATACAAATTTCCAGTCACGTTTTCGGGCGCACGGATCAACCGATTTGAATGGTTCAAAAAACATTCGATTCTTATTCATAGGGAGATGAGCTGATTAGTTTTTGGCAAAGGCAGGTCCAGCAGTTACGGAGATAAAGAGCAAAGAGTGCGGAAAATAGAAATAGAGTTTTTGAGAGAATGGAGCATCCGATTTGAATGATCTAAAAAACATTCAATTAGTAATGATGTTTTTGTTAATGAGTGTTTATTAGTTTTTGGCAAAGGCAGTCCCAGCCATTTCGAAGATACGGAACTAAATGTGTAAAAAATGGCAGTTTTTGAGAGAACTAAGCGTCCGATTTAAATGATTCAAAGAACTTTCTGCTTGTTTTAACAAAATAATTGATTTTGGAAAAAAAATTGTATATCGAAAATAATTCAGATTTTATTTTTAATTCTGACTATAGTTCTAATATACTTTAAACAAATAATTTCAACTTTGCAATTCAGTTTATATAATTCTTATAAATATTAGACAATGTTACAATATTAATAATAATCTAGTTGATAACATTCAGTATTCCTCTTCATTACGGTACGGGAAGTTCCAGCAATTTGCCTTAAGGCACAAGCCATACACCCCACTAGTTTGCTTTAATTTTAGCTAAAATTCTAGAGCCCAGTGATATACTTGAGATAAATAATTTTAACTTTGCAATTTAGTTTATATGATTCTTAGAAATATGAGATAAGATCCTTTATTCTAACTCAGCTTAATTAAGTTTTGTTTATTTACTTTTAACATAAACATATAACAACATCAATTTATAAGCTCTTATATTTTGTCTATAAAATATGAATAATAAATGTTACAGTATTTATAATAATATATTTGAAAACATTTAATATTCTTCGAATACTTCATTACGATATGGAAGGTTCCTGCAATTTGCCTTAAGGCACGATGCTCAATAATATACTTGAGATAAATAATTTTAACTTTGCAATTCAGTTTATGTAATTCTTAGAAATATGAGATAAGGTCCTTTATGCTAACTCAGCTTAATTAAGTTTTGTTGAAGGAAGAAAGGAAGTTGCAGCAATTTGCCTTAAGGCATGATGCCATACACCGCTAGTTTCCTTCTAGTGACTTCTCACTTATGAATTCGCAGATGTCTTTTTAAATTAGTCCGTGCAGGAAACGTTTTGCTACATACTTCACATGTATAAGGACGTTCACCAGTATGAGTACGTGTGTGAATTTTCAAATCACTCGACGATGTGAATGCCTTATCACACATCCCACATTTATGTGCACGTTTTCCACTGTGAACAAGCGAGTGTCTCCACAGGATGCTCGCTTGTTTAAAAGCCTTATTACATATGTCACATTTATAACAACTCTCTTCTGAATGAATCCTCATGTGCGTTTTTAGAGCACTTGATTGAATGAATGCCTTATTGCATATTTTGCATTCATGTGGGCGTTCTCCGGTGTGAATAAGTAGGTGTGTTTTTAAAGCATCCAGTTGTCTGAATCTTCTACTGCATGTTTCACACTTGTAACGGCGTTCCCCTGTATGGACACTCATGTGTCTTTTCAAGTCGCTTGGTAACATGAAGGTGCCTTCGCATAGATTGCATGCATAGGAACGTTCCCCGGTATGAACAAGCATGTGCTTTTTCAAATAGTTTGATAAATGGAATTCTTTGTTGCATATTTCACATTTAAAAGGGCGCTCTTCAGCGTGGATATGCTTGTGTTTTGTTAAATTGCTTTTTTTGTTGAATGCCTTATTGCATGTTTCACATTTAAAAGGGTGTTCTTCTGAATGTGTGAATTTGTGTGATTTCAACTCTTTTGATCGTTTGAATGTCTTGTGACAGATTTCGCATTTGAAGGGGCGCTCATTAGTATGTACAGGCATGTGTTTTGCCAAAATTGAAGGATATTTAAATGTCTTATAGCATATATCACACTTATGGGGGCCTTCTTCGCTGTGACCAGGCATGTGTTCGGCCAAATGCTCAGTTAAATCATGCGACTCTGTAAATGATCTATTGCAAATATCACATTTATAAGAGGGTGCCTCAAGTGACTCCTGTTTGATTTCTTCTTTTATCGTCACTTCAGAGTTCATGAAATTTTCTAAACAAGTATCGCCATTGTCTGAAAATGCCTCCGGCTTAATATTATCATCATCAACATCAAATTCATCCTCATTTTCACCTTCAATCTCTTCAACTGAAAATTCTGGTGGTTCTATCTTAATTTGGAGCTCATTTGTAGACACAGTTGTTTTTTCGGACATTTTTAGATATTTACACTTAAAATGAATTAACAACAATTTTTCATAACATTAAACAATCGCTTTTTAGTAATTAATTATGTTATAATTAATAACAAACACTTTTGTCTTTAAAGTTTTTGTCTTAAAAGAAATTTTCTCAAGATGGTGATGCTTTGTTTGACAGATAGAGCATAGAGAACGATATGAATTAGTAAAGATGCGACACTCTTGCTAACTAACTTTACGAAGTAAATTATTAGCAAACTAAAATTTACTAGTTGTGTATGGCATCGTGTCTTAGGGCAAATTGCTGGAACTTCCCGTACCGTAATGAAATATTTCAGAAATATTAAATGTTTTCATACAGATAATTATAAATACTGTAACATTGTCTAATATTTATAAGAATTATATAAATTGAATTACAAAGTTAAAATTATTTATTTAAAGTATATAAGTAAACTTTAGAACTTTAGTCAGAATTAAAATTAAAATCTGAATTATTTTCGATATGCAAAAAAATTGTTTTTGCATCATTCAAATCGGATGCTTACTTCTTTCAAAAACTGCCATTTTTTACACCTTTAGCTTCAAAATGGCTGGACCTGGCCTCTTTGCCAAAAGCTAATCATCATTCATCATTTCTCCTCATTATTACGAACTGAATGTTTTTCCATTCAAATCCGATACTTTTGGTTCTCTCAAAATCTCGATTTCTATTTTTGGCACTCTTTGCTGGACCTGCCTTCGCCAAAAACTAATCAGCACATCTCCTTTTCAATTGGAATCGAATGTTTTTTGAACCATCCAAAACGGTTAATCCGTGCGCCCGAAAACGTGGACGAAAAATTGTATCCATACATACATACACACACATCAAATTTTTCTGAGGTGTGCCAAAATGTTCAGAAACCTTCAAAACGTCGAGAAATGTTAAAATTTTCGATTTCGATTTTTGGACGATTTTAAGACGAATATTAAATGTTCTCAAATATATTATTATAAATACTGTAACTTTCATTATTCGTATTTTATAGACAAAATATAAGAGTTTATAAATTGGACTATGACGTTTATATCAAGCGGAGTTAGAATGAAGGATCTTATCTCATATTTTTAAGAATGAAGGACTTTATCTCAATTATATAAGAGAGCTTTAGAATTTTAGCTAGAATTAAAATTAAAATCCGAATTATTTGCAATATTAAAAAAAATATTTTTTAGAATTTAAAAAGCATTATTTTTCAAATTTTGAAATAAATAAAAATGTATTTGCAATGCCTAAAATCAATTATTTCGTCAATACAAGCAAAAGGTTTTTTCGATCATTCAAATCGGATGTTTAGTTCTCTCAAAAACTGCCATTTTTGCATATTTAGCTCAAAATCTCCGAAACGGTTCGACCTGTCTTTGCCGAAAACTAATCACCACTTCTCCCATCATTACGATTTGAACGTTTTTTGAATAATTCAAATCGGATGCTCCGATTTGATTGATTCAAAAACTCGATTTCTATTTTCTGCAGTCTTTGCTTCTTATCTCTGAAACGGCTAGACCAACTTTTGCGATAAATCAGCCCTATCAATAAAAATCGAATGGTTTTTGAATAAGTCAAAGCGGTTGACAGGTGCTCCCGAAAACGTCGACCAAAAATTTTATCCATACCTAATACTTGCATATTACACACACTCACATACATACATCTATTTTTTCTAAGGTATGCCAAAATGTATGCAAACCTCTGAAACATAAATATATAAAAAAAAATATTTTGGGATTTTTTTGTTTACTATAACTTACTCTAAGTTATAATCCAGTTAATAATCCAGTAGTTTCCAACCTTTTTTTCATCGCGCCCTAAGAACTTTCTATACTAAATATTGACGAAAGCCATGTAGTTGCTGTGCAGTCAGCCATTTTTCTCAGGTTGTTAGATAGAAAACTTAACATAGAAACCGCACAAATGCCAAAAAAAAACGATCTTACATAACAGGCTCTTTCTGACTCAGCATTATAACATACGAGTGACCTTGCAGTTTATGTGTAAAACGCCTGAATGCACAGCAAATACATGACATTTTGACAGTATTTAGTATGATTCAGTGGCATAATGTATGGGAGTTAGATTGTAACATGGCCTTGTCATAACATTTTCCTGTTATGCGGCAGAATCGGTCCCATAATTGTTTATATTTTATTAGTATAACAGTCCAATGTTATGGCAAGGCCATGTTACACTCCAACTTCCATACATTATGCTACTGAATCATACTGAATACTGTCAAAATGTCATGTATTTGCTGTCCATTCAGGCGTTTTACACATAAACTGCGACGTCACTCGTATGTTATGAAGCTGAGTCAGAAAGACCCTGCTATCTAAGATCGTTTTTTGACATTTGTGGGGTTTTTATTTTAGGTTTTCTATCCGACAACCTGAGAAAAACGCCTGACTGCATAGCAACCACATGGTTTTTGATAATATTTAGTTTCGAAAGTTCTCCATAACATAGCCTTGCCATAACATTGGTCTGTTGTGCGGCAGAAACGGTCATAAATATTGACTAGGCCTAAATCTAAAGGTTTAAACACTTTTGAATTTTACATATTTATAAATAAAATTACATAAATAAATAAAATAATTAAATATTTGCTTTCTGACTAAATTGTATAAAAAAATCAATGTGGTACTTATATCAATGTCTATATTTTCTTATTTTGTTTTTACAGTTTTGATTCTATTTTATTGAGGGCTGAAAAAATCTTATGCCATGTATCACCTATACATATACATATTATTATATATTAACAAATTAATTGTCTTTACATTTTTCCTTTAATTTTCTTTGTACATTTGTGTTTAATCAAATTGCTTCTATAAGGATATCCTCTGTCACAAACATCACATTTATGAGGATACTCCCTTGTATGAATAAGCATATGTTGTTGTAAATGATTCGATTGTCTAAAGGCTTTATTGCATACTTCGCATTTATAAGGACGCTCTCCTGTATGAGTACGCATATGCTTGTTCATAGTGCACCATACTTTAAAAGCCTTATTGCATATCTTGCATTTATAGGGGCACTCTCCTGTATGAGTACGCATATGCCTTCTCACAGCATTCGATGTTTTAAATGTATTATCACAGTGTTTGCAATTGTAAGGGCGTTCTCCAGTATGAGTACGCATATGATTTGTTAAATTGCCTGCTTGATTGAACCTTTTGCTACATAATTCACATGTGTAAGGAAATTGTTTAGTGTGAATACGCTTGTGGGATCTAAGAGTAGTTATATGTGTAAATGTCCTAAAGCATACATCACATTTATAGGGGCGTTCTCCTGTGTGTGTTCGCATATGATCTATTAAATTTTTTTGAGTACGAAACCCTTTGTTACATGTTTCACATTTATAAGGATATTTTCCAGAGTGAATAAGCATGTGTGAATTCAGTGGACCCTTTCCTATGAATGCCTTATTGCATTTTTCACACTTGTATGGACGTTCACCTGTATGATTACGCATATGAACTTTCAAATGCGCATTTGCTTTGTATGTCTTATGGCAAATTGAACATTTATGGGGGCGCTCTTCAGAATGAGCAAACCTATCTTGTTTTGAATTATCAGATTCTTTAATACTTGAAGGTTGTTCCAAGGTCTGTTCACAAACATGCTGATCTAATAGAGATTTTGTAGTGAATGCTTTATTACAAATTTTGCATACAGAAGGTTTTTCATCGTCACATTCATAACTGGGTGTCTGAATTGCCTCCTGTTTGATTTCTTCTTCAATAGTTATTTCAGAATTCATGAATCTTTCTAGACAAGTTTTATCATCTTCGGAACATTTGGCAGATTCAAAAATACGATCAATTTCGTCTTCTGTATATTCTGGTGGCTCAATTTTGATAGACTGATTGTTCATAAACAAAGTTGTTCCATCAGACATTTTTAAATAATTTCACTGTATAAATTGAATAAGTATTAACGATGCTCTATATAATAAGCTATTTCATTCAATAATCTTCACAAATTTTATAATAAATTTAACTAATTTATATTTGTGATTAAAAATGAATAGGTTAGTCCATAAGCGATTGTTTGACATTTGAGGCATAGAGTGTGTTTTAAGAGATACGACACTTATATTAAATTGCTTTGCTACTTAAGAAGAGTGTCGCATCTTTTCTCATTCGCTATCGTTCTCTATGCTTTACGTTTTAACAGAAAGCCACAAATTTGAAGTGAAAAAGTGAGCTTCTGAACTGTAGCCAGAATTCAAATTAGAATCTGAATTATTTTCGATACACAAAAAAAAATGTTTTTTCCCAAAAACAATTGTTTCGTAAACACAAGCAGAAAGTTTTTTGAATCATTCAAATCGGATGTTAAGTTCTCTCAAAAACTACAAATTTTTGTACATTTAGCGTTGTATCTTCGAAGTGGCTGGACCTGTCCCTGCCAAAAACTAATCACCACTTTTCCCAATCATTACAAATTGAATATTTTTTGAATCACCTAAATCGGATACTCCGTTCTCTCAAAAACTCGGTTTCTATTTTTTATACTCTTTGCTCCGTATGTTCGTAACGGCTGGACTTGCCTTTCAAATTGGTTGATCCGTGTTATCAAAATCGTCGACGAAAAATTGTATTCTCACACACACATCCATTTTTTCTGAGGTATGCCGAAGTGTTCAAAAACCTCTGAAACGTGAAAATAAATAATAACTAGTGGGGTGGATGGCATCGTGCCTTAAGGCAAATTGCTGGAACTTCCCGTACCGTAACGAAATATTCGTGGAATACTGAATGTTTTCAAATAGATTATTATAAATATTGTAACATTGTCTAATATTTATAAGAATTATATAAACTGAATTGCAAAGTTGAAATTATTTGTTTCAACATAAAAATTAAAAAAAAAAAAAAAAAAAAATGAAACAAAATTTTTTTTCCAAAATCAATTATTTTGTTAAGAGAAGCAGAAAGTTTTTTGATCATTCAAATCGGACGCTTAGTTCTCTCAAAAACTGCCATTTTTTACATATTTAGCTCCGTATCTTCGAAATGGTTGGGCCTGCCTTTGCCAAAAACTAATAAACACTTCTCCCAATCATTACTAATTGAATGTTTTTTAGATCATTCAAATCGGATACTCCGTTCTCTCAAAAATTCGATTTCTATTTTCCGCACTCTTTGCTCCGTATCTCCGAAACGGCTGGACCTGCCTTTGCCAAAAACTAATCAGCTCTTTTCCCTATCAATAGGAATCGAATGTTTTTTGAACCATTCAAATCGGTTGATCCGTGCGCCCTAAAACGTGACTGGAAATTTGTATCCACACATACATACACACACACACACACATACACACACACACACATCCATTTTTTCTGAGGTATGCCAAAATGTTCAGAAACCTTCAAAACGTCGAGAAATGTAAAAATTTTCAATTCCGATTTTCGGCCCATTACAATAACTTACCCTACGGGAAGTTAATAATAATAAATAATAATAAATAATAAAAAATTTTCATTTTCGGCCCATTAGTATAACTTATCCTATGGAAAGTTAAAGAAAAACAGTTTTATGTTTCAATGATAAATATATTTTTAATACATACACAGAAAATAATAATATAAAAAATATATTATTAATACTAATATTTGTATACATATTAATTATAACATTTAAAGTAGAATGCGAACAAAATATAAGCTATTCATAATTCGTCAGACAATTTTGGTTACAAGTGAAAACATCTGCTTAACTATCTGTGTAGAAGTCTTTTAGAAGTGTGATTTTTACTTTTTAAATACATTTTTACCAATGATGATTTTAAAATCTGAAGTTTTTGGGAAGTTTACTAGATTGTACAGAGTATCACCCCTCCTTTATTTCATATTTCACATTAATCATCCCTTCTTTATTTCACATTTCACAATTATGAATAAGCAAGTGCTTTTGTAGATCATATTTTCGTTTGTATGTCTTAGGACATATCGTGCATTTATGGAGGCTTACTGCACTGTGAAGAAGCATGTGTTGTTTCAAATGACCTGTTTGTTTGAATGTCTTATTGCATATCTTGCATTGATAATGCCGAGCTTCAGAATGAGAAATAGTGTGCTGATCCAAAAGAAATAATTGTGTGAAGCTTTGATTGCATATTTCACATTTAAAAGGTCGCTCTCCTGAATGGAAAAGCATGTGTGGTTTCAAATGGCTTTTCTGTTTGAATGTCTTATTGCACATTTTGCATTTGAACGGGCGTTCCCCTGTATGGTTGAGCATATGCGATTCCAAACCGCCTCTTTGTGTGAATGCTTTGTCGCATATTTCACATTGAAAGGGACGTTCTTGAGAATGCGTAAGCATGTGATTCTGCAATACAGATAACCGTGCAAACCTTTTATTACAGATATTGCATTGGAAATGTCGTTCTGAGCTATGGAAACGCATGTGTCTTGCCAAACTTGAGGGCATTTCAAATGTTTCAAAGCACACGTTACATTTTTGTGGGCCTTCCTTGCTAGGCATGTGATCGACCATGTGCTCTTCTAATTGTTGTGATTCTGGAAAAGATTCATTACAAATATCACATTCAAAAGTAGGTGTCTCAATTATCTCCTGTTTGACTACTTCTTCTATCGTCACTTCGGAATTCAAGAATCTTTCCAGACAAGTATCATTATCTTCTTCAGACTTAACAATAGCATCAAATTCATCCGGAATTTCGAGTTTAATGTTTTCTGCAGAATATTCCTGTGGTTCCATTTTAATTCTCTGGTTAATAGTAGACATAATTGATTCTTCTGACATTTTTATTAGAACTCACGTTATTTTCACTGTAAATATTCAAGAAATATTCATGAAAACGTTTGCGTATCTTTTAATAATCAATTTTAATTGATAATTTTTATTTATTGTTAGAAAAGATAAAGTTAGTTACACTTACATTTGACATTTCAGTTAAAAGTTGAAAGCATAGAGTAGTTCTTATAAAGATGAGTAGGGTAAGTTATTCGTCTGTGTGAAGCATAGATAAGTAAGCATGGAAGGAAAACGCAAATCGATTGAAGCGTTCGTAGTGGCCATTTTAAGCACTACGGGAGGCTATTATAACCGAAATAGTAAACAAATATACGTGAAATATTATTTTATTATTAACTGTCCGAAGGAAAAGTTTATGTTTTCATAATTCGCTAATTTTATGTTTTCTCGACGTTTCAAGCCATTCTGAATCGAATGAAACCTAATTTGGAAAAAGTATGTATGTGTGTGTGCGTGTGTATGTGTATGTGAACAGATTTTTTAGCGTAAATCAACGTTTTCTCAAAAGCGGCTGGGCCGATTTCAAAAATTTAAAAGCCATTTGTTGTATCACGACGAGGACTATCGTTTGTCAGTTTTGTGGGACGATCGGCCGAGACGTTTCTTCATAAATTGCAGAAAAGTAAAAAAAATTTCGTCCACGTTTTAGACTGCAATTCTGAACCGATTATGAAAATTCAAAAACCGGTCGAAAGATATTGATTGGGAATCGTGCTGATTAGTTTTTGGTAAAGATCGGCCGGGCCGTTTCTTTGTAATTTGGAAAAAAAAAGTTAAACTTTTCGTCCACAATTTAAGCTCATACTACCGAATCGATTTTAAAAAATCAAAAACTGTTCGAAAGATATTAATTGGTGATGATACTGATTAGTTTTAGGCAAAAATCTACCGAGCTGTTTTCTTGTAATTAGCTGTTGAAAGAAAAATTGGAACCGATTTTTATGGAACTTTTTTTGGCGATATATATCATGGCCTTATGGAACTTACTGAAATATTGCGGCCTTACGACAAGTAATTTAATTTTAAAAATTCATCAAAGTTTGAGAAAAGAAGTAGATTTTATGACGTTTGATAAAATTTAATTTAAATTAGACGATTTACTTGGTATAACGATAGAGTACTTGGTCTTAAAAAACATAGTAAACCATTAAAGTCCTACGGAAACTGGTTCAAATACAAAAATTGTTGAATTTTGAAAATTTGCTTTTTGAAAATACTCCGCGTTAACGTGTTAGTTCGTTTTTGATCATGTGTAATAAATCCACTCGGAATACTTTTAATCGCTCATAAATTAATTTATTTTTTATTGATTAAGTCGATTATTTACATATAACGGGAGGTTCATGTAACTTGCCTCAAGGCTAAATACCAAACCAACTAGTTTTATTTCATTTTTAAATAGATTCTAAATAAAAATGAGACACTAAACTTGTTGTGTAGTGGATTGTGAAAACACCAGTAGGAAAAACGAGTGTAAATTCTATAAATTTCTTACAGCTAAATGGACATTAAATGAACGTGAACATTTCATAACCTTATTATTATGAAAAAAAAAACATTTCGGAGTATTATAAATTGTTATCAAATTGTTATGTTTAGCAAAAAGAAAATTTAGAAGTCAATATAGTGTTATAATATCAAAATTTAATACAGGACCGGATTCAGACATTTGGCGCCCCGGGGCACTGACAAAAATGCCGCCCCATCCCTGAAATTTTACGAACTTTCGAACTTTTTTTTAAAGCAATCGCGCTGCTTCAGCTGCGTAGGGACAAAATATAGAAGCGCGTAAGCGCCGCGTCGCAGTCTAACGGATAAACAATGTTACAGAATGCATATAAATGTATACTTATTATTATAATATCTTTAAAATATCTGATAATTTAATGTGCATATCACTTTTACACAATTATGATCACTTTTGTCCGCCAAATGTTTCTTTTTCAAATTTTTTTATTGGATCATCGAAACCGCTAAACCTGCCCCCCCCCCCACAAATTTAAGCAGTTATTTATTCTGTAAATTTTTTTGAATGATATTGGTCGCTTTTTTCCTTAAAAACTGAATTATCATTTTTGGCATTTTGGTCCGTATCTTCAAAACAATTGGACCTGCCTTGGCCAATAACTAATCAGCACGTCTCCTATTGATAATAGGAATTGAATCATTTAAATCGGTTGATCCGTGTTCGCAAAATCGACTTGAATAATTAAAAAATATTAGATTTGTATTGATGGGGAGACGAGCTGATTAGCTTTTGGCACAGGAAATTACAAAAAATGGTAATAGAGTTTCGATATTTCTTCTCTGAAACAACTACGCAGCGCGACTGCTTTGCAAAAAGTTCATCAATTTTCAATTTTCGAAAAATTTCAAAATACAAAAAATGTGCTTTAAAAGTCTTTTTTTCATTTTTCAAAAAATTTTAAAGTTCTTTATAAAATGTAATTTTCAATACGGCATGTTTCAGTAATTTGTCTTAAGGCACAATGCCATGAGTCACTAGTTAAATTTTTTTTCGACGCTATAAGCTTGGAAGTGCACAAATTCGTCATTTTAAGAGGGCTCGAAAACTGAAAAACATATTTTTGTTAAACTTTCAGCTTGTTTATGGATCTTTATATTAGCCAAATTGTCAAATTTGATAACCTATTAACCAATTTGATAATTTACGTTCGGAGAGGGAGGCAAGGCAAAATAATAAATTTTAGTTATCGGTTATTTCAACCCAAATGAAAGATACAGAGCTAAGTGTGCAAAAAATGGCAGTTTTTGAGAAAACTAAGCGTCCGATTTAAATAATTCAAAGAACTTTCTGCTTGTTTTAACAAAATAATTGATTTTGAAAAAAAATTGTATATCGAAAATAATTCAGATTTTATTTTTAATTCTGACTAGAGTTCTAATATAGTTTAAACAAATAATTTCAACTTTGTAATTCAGTTTATATATTTCTTATAAATATTAGACAATGTTACAGTATTTATTATAATCTATATGAAAACATTTTATATTTCTCGAACATATTTCATTACGATACGGGAAGTTCCAGCAATTTGCCTTATGGGGTTAGGGGTACTTGGAGGTACAAAAAAATGAGAATTTTCAGTATTTTTTTGTTGTTATTAAACAATGTTTTTGTACAAAAATATTATTACGGAATTATTATACAATGTTTTGATTTGAAGTAACAAAAATTTCAGGAAAAAAAAAGATTATTCCCAAAGTTATAGCTGTTTTTGTTGACCCTGTTTCAAAAAACGGTCCTGGCGGCGACCATCATAACTCCTTAGAGATTCATCTAAAATCAATTAAATAAAAAGAAATAGTTTTATAAATAGATAATCCTGGGCCTGACCGAAGATTTTTTTCTTTTCGCAGAAATTAACAAAATGGCAGCATCAGAAACAAAAAATCTAGATTTTTGTGTGAAAAATCAACAGTTAATTGGTCCTAAAAATTGAAATTTTTGAAAAAATAAAAATCCTTCGATCAGGCCCGAGTTTATTTTGTATTCTAAAAGTTGTATAAATTTCATTAAAATTTACTAAGCGGTTTTTGAGTTACAGTTACAGTAGTCACCGGTTCAAAAAACATAGTTTTAAAAAAAACGCGTTTAAAGTTTCACATTGGATTTACGTACAGAAATTAGAAATATTGAATTACTTAAACCGAGTCATCTATTTCTGGGCTATATAATAGTTCATCAGTCATTGTGCAAGTTTCCAAAATTTCCATTTGCTGTTGCCTACGAAGCACTCTGCCCTCCCGAGTGTTCTCGTTGGCGCGCTGATCTACCACTTTCACACGTGCAGTATCCAATTTTTCAGCATACCAATGGGAATTATACCCACAATTAAGTCCTAGGGTATCCATAATCAATAATAATGATTATGTATATGTATTCAGCTATTTGTACGATAGTAAAACTAGTATTCGCGGTTTTTAGGCATATTTTTTACACTAGTTGGCTGAAGCTTTCAAATTTTTCTGATTATGGATTCAATCTTGAACTACACATCATGAAAGTAAATTATCATTGCTAAGATCGTCGTAAATCGGTTTAAAAGCTTTTAAAACATCAGGAGGTGAGGGAGAATAATCTTAAGTATAAGTATCGAGCTCTCCACTTGCGTCAACGCGCTGGTAAGAGTCCAATAACTCAAAAAGTAATCATCGGACCAACTTGAAATTTTCAGAGAACATTTTCAAGATATTACACTTAATAAAAATGCAAAAAAATAAAAATCGATTTTTCAAAAATTCCAAGTACCCCTAACCCCTTAAGGCACGATGCCATACACAGCTAGTTTGCTTTAAATTTGTGGTTTTGTGTTAAAACGTAAAGCATAAAGAACGATAGTGAATGAGAAAAGATGCGACACTCTTCTCAAGTAGCAAAGCAATTTAATACAAGTGTCGTATCTTTTAAAACATATTCTATGCCTCAAATGTCAAACAATCGCTTATGGACTAACCTATTCATTTTTAATCACAAATATAAATTAGTTAAATTTATTATAAAATTTGTGAAGATTATTGAATGAAATAGCTTATTATATAGAGCATCGTTAATACTTATTCAATTTATACAGTGAAATTATTTAAAAATGTCTGATGGAACAACTTTGTTTATGAACAATCAGTCTATCAAAATTGAGCCACCAGAATATACAGAAGATGACGAAATTGATGGTGTTTTTAAGTCTGTCAAGTGTTCTGAAGATGATAAAACTTGTCTAGAAAGATTCATGAATTCTGAAATAACTATTGAAGAAGAAATCAAACAGGAGGTAATTCAGACACCTGGTGATGAATGTGACGATGAAAAACCTTCTGTATGCAAAATTTGTAATAAAGCATTCACTACAAAATCTCTATTAGATCAGCATGTTTGTGAACAGACCATGGAACAACCTTCAAGTATTAAAAAATCTGATAATCCAAAACAAGATAGGTTTGCTCATTCTGAAGAGCGCCCCCATAAATGTTCAATTTGCCATAAGACATACAAAATAAATTCGCATTTGAAAGTTCATATGCGTAATCATACAGGTGAACGTCCATACAAATGTGAAAAATGCAATAAGACATTCATAGAAAAGGGTCCACTGAATTCACACATGCTTATTCACTCTGGAAAATATCCTTATAAATGTGAAACATGTAACAAAGGGTTTCGTACTCAAAAAAATTTAATAGATCATATGCGAACACACACAGGAGAACGCCCCTATAAATGCGACACATGCCTTAAGACATTCATGCATACAATTTCTCTTAGATTGCACAAACGTATTCACACTAAACAATTTCCTTACACATGTGAATTATGTAACAAAAGATTCAATCAAGCAGGAAATTTAACTAGTCATATGCGTACTCATACTGGAGAACGCCCTTACAATTGCAAACTCTGCGATAGAACATTTAAATCATCGAGTGCTGTGAAAAGGCATATGCGTACTCATACAGGAGAGCGCCCCTATAAATGCAAGATATGCAATAAGGCTTTTAAAGTATCGTATGCTATAAACAAGCATATGCTTACTCATACAGGAGAGCGTCCTTATAAATGCGAAGTATGCAATAAAGCCTTTAGACGATCGTATCATTTAAAACAACATATGTATACTCATACAAGGGAGTATCCTCATAAATGTGATGTTTGCGACAAAGGATATTGTTATAGAAGTATATTGATTAAACACAAATGTGCAAAGAAAATTAAAGAAAAAATGTAAAAACAATTAATTTGTTAATATATAATAATATGTTTATGTATAAGTGATATATGACATAAATTTTTTTAGCCCTCAATAAAATAGAATCAAAACTGTAAAAACAAAATAAGAAAATATATACATTGATATAAGTACCGCATTGATTTTTTTATACAATTTAGTCAGAAAGCAAATATTTAATTATTTTATTTATTTATTTATGTAAATTTATTTATAGTTTAAGTTTAGGCCTAGCCTACATTCAAGGACCGATTCTGCCGTACAACAGACCAATGTTATGGCAAAGTTATGTTATAAAGAACTTTCCATACTAAATATTATCAAAAGCCATGTGGTTGCTTTGCAGTCAGGCGTTTTTCTCAGGTTGTCAGATAGAAAACCTAAAATAAAAACCCCACAAATATCAAAAAACTATCTTAGATAGCAGGGTCTTTCTGACTCAACTTCATAACATACGAGTGGCGTTGCAGTTTATGTGTAAAACTCGTAAATGAATAGCAAATATATGACATTTTAACAGTATTCAGTATGATTCAGTAGCATAATGTATGGAAGTTGGAGTGTAACATGGCCTTGCCATAACATTGGTCTGTTGTGCGGCAGAATCGGACCATCAATGAAACTAAAAATACTTAAAATAATGGGACCAACTTTGTCACATAACAGAAAAATGTTATTGCTGTCGAGGTTTCATGTATTTGCTGTTAATTCAGGCGTTTTACACATAAACTGCAACGTCACTCGTACGTTATGAAGCTGAGTCAGAAAGACCCTGATATCTAACATCAATTTCTTGACATATGTGCGGTTTTTAAGGTTAGGTTTTCCATCTGACAACTTGAGGAAAACGCCTGACCGCACAGCAACTACATGGCTTTCGTCAATATATAGTATAGAAAGTTCTTAGGGCGCGATGAAAAAAAGGTTGGAAACTACTGGATTATTAACTGGATTATAACTTAGAGTAAGTTGTAGTAAACGAAAAAATCTCAAAATATTTTTTTTTATATATTTATGTTTCAGAGGTTTGCATACATTTTGGTTTGCATACCTTAGAAAAAAATAGATGTATGTATGCGAGAGAGTATAGTATGTATATAGGTATGGATACAATTTTTGGTCGACGTTTTCGGGGGCACCGGTCAACCGCTTTGACCTATTCAAAAACCATTCGATTTCTATTGATAGGGCTGATTTATCGCAAAAGTTGGTCTGGCCGTTTCGGAGATACGAAGCAAAGACTGCAGAAAATAGAAATCGAGTTTTTGAATCATTTAAATCGGAGCATCCGATTTGAATTATTCAAAAAACGTTCAAATCGTAATGATGGGAGAAGTGGTGATTAGTTTTCGGCAAAGACAGGATGAACCGTTTCGGAGATATTGAGCTAAATATGCAAAAATGGCAGTTTTTGAGAGAACTAAACATCCGATTTGAAAGATCGAAAAAACCTTTTGCTTGTATTGACGAAATAATTGATTTTAGGCAATGCAAATACATTTTTATTTATTTCAAAATTTGAAAAAAAATGCTTTTTAAATTCTAAAAAATATATTTTTTTAATATTGCAAATAATTCGGATTTTAATTTTAATTCTAGCTAAAATTCTAAAGCTCTCTTATATAATTGATATAAATAATTTTAACTTTGCATTTAGTTTGTGTAATCTTAAAAATATGAGATAAGGACCTTCATTCTAACTCCGCTTGATACAAACGTCATATTCCAATTTATAAATTCTTATATTTTGTCTATAAAATACGAATAATGAAAGTTACAGTATTTATAATAATATATTTGAGAACATTTAATATTCTTCGAATATTAACTTCCCGTAGGGTAAGTTATTGTATTCGTCCAAAAATCGAAATAGAAAATTTTAACATTTCTCGACGTTTTGAAGGTTTCTGAACATTTTGGCATACCTCAGAAAAAATTGATGTGTGTGTGTGTATGTATGTATGGATACAATTTTTCGTCCACGTTTTCGGGCGCACGGATCAACCGATTTGGATGGTTCAAAAAACATTCGATTCCAATTGATACGGAGATGTGCTGATTAGTTTTCGGCTAATGCAGGTCCAGCCATCGAAGATACGGAGCAAATAATGAAGAAAATAGAAATCAAGTTTGTGAGAGATCGGAGCATCGGATTTGACTGATCCAAAAAACATTCAACTCGTAATGACGGGGACAAATGGTGATTAGGTTTTGGTAAAGGCAGGTCCAGCGGTTTCGGAGATATAGAGCTAAAAGTGCAAAAAATGGCAGTTTTTGAGAGAACCAAGCGTCCGATTGGAATGATTCAAAGATCTTTCTGCTTGTTTTAACAAAATAATTGATTTTGGAAAAAAAAATGTATATCGAAATTTTTATTCAGATTTTATTTTTAATTCTGACTAAAGTTCTAATATACTTTAAACAAAAAATTTCAACTTTTAATGCAGTAAACGGAGAGGAAAAGGAAGTGTATAACCTCTGAATTTTTTTACTGTGCTCCGAATTGTATGAAATTTCGTAATTAGGCTCATCTTAACCTCAAGTTCAAAAGTGAAAACAATTCGGCTTCCGCCACCACCCCCCGGGGGGTTTGCGACCCCTTAATGAATAAGTAGACATTGAGCCGTTTTATAGCTAGAAAACGTTTTTAATATTAAAGGATATGATTAAAAAATATGTTTTAATACATTAACCTTGCAATAAAATCATTTTCAACACCGCAAAAACCTAAAACTTTTTAAACAACCTCTAAATTGAAAAAAAACATAAATTTTGGTATGATATAATAAGAATTACGTATAAAGTAAATAATATTTTATGTTTTCTATCTTGATTATCTAAATTTTAACCCTTTTCAAACCCTAAAAACACAACCCCTTGATAAAAAATTGTTTGAAAAAATTACTTTGAAATTGAAAGAAAATAAAGAAATTCAAAATTATATGAATGCTATTTCAATTTCTCGAAAATAATTACTATATCCATAATTTGTTCAACTTTCAAAACTACCCTTGAATAAAAACAGTACCCAGTATAATTCTGTCTAAACTCGTATATTTGTTGTTCCTGTTACTGCAATTATTAAATTTTCATTTAATACGCTAAACCAATATTAATTCATATTATTTTAAAATATACGTTTTTATTATAAATACACATAAGGATGTATATAAGTCAATAGTTTTGGGCACCAAATACTGATACTTATACATTGTTCGAAATATGGACACAACTCTACAAAAATGCGATTAGTTTTCGGGTCATAACTCTTGTATATTTTAGGAGATATTTGCAAAAAAAACGAAGAAAAACGCCAAAAATATAAGAATTTTTAGTGGCCAGTAACTTGAAAAGTATTAGTTTTTTTGAAAAACTATAGAACTTTTTTTCTTATAATTAGTTCTTTTATCGATTTCCGATGTTATTTTGGAAAAATGTAACTACACAATTGAGAAGGGGTGTCATTCCCCCGAGGGGTAGTGGCGGAACCCGAATTGTTTTCACTTTTGAACTTGAAGGTAAGATGAACCTGATTCCAAAATTTCATGAAATTCGGAGACAGTAAAAAAATTCAGACCCAAAACGCTCCGTTTACTGCACTATTTATAATTCAGTTTATATAATTCTTATTAGACAATGTTACAATATTTATAATAATGTATTTGAAAGTATTCAATATTCCTCGAACATTTCGTTACGGTACGGGAAGTTCCAGCAATTTGCCTTAAGGCACGATGCCATACACCCCACTAGTTTTATCACTGTACTTCCCTGTGTCTTTAGTGCATTGAAGTAAATTTTAAAATGTACATAACTATTCAACTTTCACTTTTTTGTTGTAACTTGTTTATTATTATTTATAACTTTTCTTTAATAGCCTTTTTTTGCACAAACATATGAAAACACATGAAAAGCGCACACTGATAGCCTCCAGTAGTTCATACAGTCCATACTTAGTCTGGCGCTGCAGTCACACACTTTTCTGGCGTATCTACAGTTTTGCTCCAGGGCTCTATGGCCTACGTTCATACCTATTCCCATATTATTATGCTTATTTATCTATGCTTATTCCTACGTTCATTGCTTTTTAAACTGTCAACACAAATGTCAAATAATAAATCTTTCATTACCTATAATAGAGGTAAATTTATTTAAAATTACTATCATATTTAAGAAGATTATTGATTGAATAAATTATTAAATAGATGCAACCATTTTCAATAATATTTATTGAATATACGTAGTGCAAGTATCTAAAAATGTCTGAAGAAACAACTGTGTCTACGAATTATCAGAAAATTAAAATTGAACCCTCAGATTTTCCAACCGAGAACTTTAACCGTGAAATTGAAGATGAAAATGGTGGTTTAGATGATGTTGTTAAATCCGAATCGTGTTCAGAAGATATTGAAACGTGTCTGGAAAGATTCATGAATTCCGAAGTGAGAGTTGAAGAAGAAGTCAAACAGGAGATAATTGAAACACCAGTTCTTAAGTGTGACCTCTGTAATAAATCATTTAAAAAACCGCAATATTTGGAACAGCATATGGTAGTCCACATGCCTAATCAAAGAGAAAAAAGATCCAACAAATGCAATGTGTGCAATAAAACATTTGATCGGCCTTCTTTATTGGCTAGACATAGTGTTATTCATAGCACAGAACGGCCTTTCAAATGCGAAATCTGCCCAAAGAAATTCAAACTATCAATCAGGTTAAAGTCACACATGGTTATACATTCAACAGAACGTTCCTTTAAATGTAAACTATGCAATATGACATTCAATCAAAAGAGCTTAATGAACAGGCACATGATTGTACATACTGGAGAACGTCCTTACAACTGCAAAATATGCAATAAGGCATTCGGACAATCAAATGGCTTGGATAGACACATGCTTATCCATACAGGAGAACGGCCCTTTGAATGCAAAATATGCAATAAAACATTCACACAATCAACTACTTTGTCAAAGCACATGCTCATTCATACTGGAGAGCGTCCTTTCAAATGTGAAATATGCAATAAGACATTCAATCAAAGCTGCAGCTTGAATAAACACAGGCTTCTTCATACCAGAAAATATACATGTAATTTATGTAAAACCACTTTCTTGGAATCAAGCAAATTGACAAGACACCTGCGAGTTCATAAAGGAGAATCCCCTTATGAATGTTTAATATGTGGTAAAGGATTTGGTGTACCAAGTGCTTTGAAACTACACATGCGCATTCATACAGGGGAACGCCCTTTTAAATGCAAAGTATGCAATCAGAAATTTGCACGAAAATATTATCTGAAAACGCACATTATCACTCATACCAAAGAGCGTCCTTTCAAATGTCAAATATGCAGTAAAACATTCTCACAATCGAGTGACTTGAATAGGCACATGCGCATTCATACAGGGGAACGCCCTTTTAAATGCAAAGTATGCAATAAGACATTCAGACATTCAGGTACTCTGAAAAAACACACACAGATTCATTAATGTGAAGTATGAAATAACGGGATACTATGAGAAGACACATGGCACTTCATAATGGGAGATGTGATGATAAATAAGTAGAAACTAACTTGTATGAAATTATATGTATTATATTTATAAGTAACTTCTGTTTTATTGCATTATAAATTTTATTGCTTCTTCACGAATATTATTTATATAAATATTTTCAGTCTTTATATTAAAAATTGAATTGAAGTAAAACTTGTTTGCTAGTGTACGAGATGGCATTTAAATAAATTAAATACATCATAAAAATTTTGAATAATGTTTATTAGTAATATTGTAACACTCATGATGCACACATTTTTTAATGTCAACAATTATACATATTTATATAGTAAAAATTATAAATTATATATTTATAATATCATTAAAAATATTTATAATGTTTATAATGTTTGAAAATAATAATGAAATCACACTTAAGACATGATTAATCAGACATTGTAATTAGCATTTAGGACTTGAACCTTTATTAGAGAAATGAAGTAATTACTGATTAATCAATTCTATAGTATTTGTTCAAACAGTGAACTTATAACAATCTTGAATAATTCCATTAACTCTATCAATAAATAAACTGCATAGATGTCAATTATGATGTATATCTGTATATAAATGATGCACATCTACACAAACTATTGTTGTGCTTGATTTCTTGTTTAGAGTAATAAATCTGAATATCAATTTATTCTTCATTATTTATAAAAATATGCAACTTTGTAATAGTTAATAGCCATCAATAACACGTAGATTTCCTCTAAACTTCCAAAAGTGTCTGAGATATAATTCTGAAAGATATATTTTTGGTATGATAGAATAAAGCTGTGCTGCTTTAATATTTTTTAATATCTATAAAAATGCAAAGAATTATTATGTTAAACAACGCCTAAATAAAAATTGTTTAAACAATTTCACTTATCATGCAATTGTCCCTAAAGAACTTCATGTAATTAAAATCAACATACATTCATTAACTGCTGTTTTTTTTACTTCTTTGCTGGCGATACAGTCTCATTCTTTGAGCAGCTGTAGTATCTGTCTTGCCTATAAAAATAATTTCCATTTTAATAACATCAAAAATATATAGTAATCATGAATCATACAAATTACTTCAATAAACTTAAGATTCTACTACGTCAGATTTTTCATTAGTTTTATTATTATCACTATACAATCAAAGCAATCATACTCAAGCGACACGACGACCATTCACAATCGACCCGTATAGAAATGATATCATCGAGAGCAAGTGACGAATCATTGGCACTCTGCTCGGCCGTAACGCCTTTTCCTTTGCATTTGTACAGATTTACACCCTAGTCGCGCCTAAAGAAGTTTTAATTTAAAAAACATTCAGTAATGAATGGGAGAAGTGGTGATTAGTTTTTGGCAAAGGCAGATATAGCCGTTACGGAGATAAAGAGCAACGAGTGCAGAAAATAGAAATCGAGTTTTTGAGAGAACGGAGCATCCGATTTGAATTATCTAAAAAACATTCAGTTTGTAATGATTGGGAGAAGAGGTGATTAGTTATTGGCAAAGGCAAGTCTAGCCATTTTGGAGATACGGAGATAAATATGCAAAAAATTGCAGTTTTTGAGAGAACTAAGCAGCCGATTTGAATGATTCAAAAAACTTTCTGCTTGTGTTGACGAAACAATTACTTTTGGGAAAAAAAATCATTTCAATTTTTTTTTGTATATCAAAAATAATTCAAATTCCAATTTTAATTCTGGTTAAAGTTCTAAGGCTCACTTATATACTTTAAGTGAATAGTTTTAACTTTGTAATTCTGTTATCTTTCACCACCATTCGGGTAGAGCTAGTCTTTTTTAAAATATACTCTATGCTTTCATTGTCAATGTCAACTTAGGGTGCATTCGACTTGGACGCTTACGCGCTGTGAGCGCGCCGTGAGCGCGCTTTCATCGTTCGACTTGGCGCTGTGAGCGTCACATAAGTACGCTCGCAGCATCATCGTAGCATGTTCGTAGCACCTATTTTGCGCTCAAACGTGCTCACGCCACGGAGGTGAGGCACATGAAAGTGTCATGGCCGTTTATCAAAACGAATGCATGGAATGCATAATCTAATCCTAATTTCATTCATTCTTAGTTCATTAAGTACGCAAAAATGGCGAGCTGTGCATTACAATTATTTTTTAATATTAATATTAATATTAATTAATTTTAAATTTAATTAATTTTAAATTTTAATTTTAATATTAATATGAATTAAGCATAAGCAAACCAAATTTCATTTATTTATTAATTGTTAAATTGTTTATAATCCCGCTGAATGATCCAGAAAGTAATAAAATTTACACAATTACCGTTACCGCCAGTTGCCGCCATTTTGATGCTTATTGACGCTCACAGTATCCAAAACGAACGGAATTTAGTTATCGATTCTGAGCGCTTATCGGCCAAGTCGAACGCTAAAAATTCGTGCTTATTCGCTCAGAGCGTGACTGCAGCGCCCATGCAGCGCCGGAATAAATATGAACTAATTAAGGCTATCAGTGTGTGGTTTTTATGGGTTTTATATGTTTGTTAAAGAAAAAAGATATTAAATAATTGTTATAAATAATAATAAACATTATACAATAATACTGTGAACGCTCAATGTTTATTGAAATTATTAAATTTACTTCAACGCACTTAAAACATAGTTAAGTGTGTTGATTAATTTAATAAAGAAATGCAGTAAACATTTTTAAGGTTAAGTGCCTTAAAGCTTATGTCATGAGCTCGGAATAGTTCTTAATAAAAACAATATAATAATGATAAAAATATTTTAACAATAGAATAAGTAAATAATAAATTAATTTACTCATTTTTTTATTATTTTTGGTCAAACTAAAGACTTAGACATTATTATAAAGACATGATTTAGGCATTATTATAAAGACAAGACCCATCAAATAAAATTGCAGGAAAAAAAGCGACTTTAACTTTTCGAGTCTTGTAAATTGAAGGAAGTTTTGTTGACAAGTAGGTTGGACTCAATACCTCGTCCGATTCACTGCAAATGCGATCATAGGGCTTGGGAACCCACGGTGATCCATCAACACTACAAATATATATTTTGCATTATTTCAGCATTGTATTAATTAAACTGATTGTAAAATAAACATTTTACGCTATGTGATAACTTTTATTTTTCTTTTAATCATAAAATTACATTTATTATATAATAACATGTAATTAATAGATAGATAATAGTTATACATAATCAATATACAATATATAAATATATATTTATCATTATTTCAGCCTTGTATTAATTACATTGTTTGCAAAACAATTTTTTCTTGTAAGCATTAAATTTTGATAAAATAACAATTTATTGACTTATAATTTTTTTTTGCTAAACATAAAAATTTTACAAATATTCATAGTACTCCGAATTGAATTTTTATAACAATAAGGTTATGATACTTACTTTATTCTTCTAACCGCGATCCACTTTTCCCGTTGATTTTCTTTCCACTTATCTGTAGGAAATGTATAGAATTTGCAGTCACTTTTTCTGCTCTTATTTCTACAACCCACTACACAACAGCTTTGGTGGCTCATTTTTAATTATCTTATTTAAATTTGAAATAAACAAATATTGTATGTGTTTTTCTTTAAAATTTCTGTCATAATGACCTACTTTAATGCTCAAAGTAGCCACAACAAACGCTTCGGTCGATTTGACTTCCCCTTCCATGCCTTCGCACATAGCCAATAAGCGTGAGCGCTCACAGCGCGTAAGCGTCCAAGTCGAATGCACCCTTAAATGTCAAACGACTAACCTCTTCATTATTTCGCAAAGAAAACGCGTTGTAGTTGAATTTACTATTTTATTTAAAGTATCTGCATAAAATAAGTTGATAGAATACCCAATTGATAATTACTGAATGTACATAGTGAATACATCTAAAAATGTCGGAAGAAACAATTATGTATATGAATGATCAGATAATTAAGATTGAACCGCCAGAATATTCAATAGAAGACATTAAGTGCGAAATTGATGATGAATTTAATTATGTAGATGGTATTGCTAAGTCTGAATCGTATTTTGAGGATGATAAAACGTCTCTGGAAAGATTTATGAATTCCGAGGTGACGATAGAGGAAGAAGTCAAACAGGAGGTAATTGTGACACCAGTTTATAATTGTGACACTTGTAATAGAACATTTTCAGAATCACTTCACTTAGAAGAACATATGATCGAACACATGGAACTATTAAAAGGGTTTAAATGTGAAATATGTTCTAGAGTTTATAGCAGGGCACATTATTTAAAGCAACACTTGCATACTCATGCCAGCGAGAAACCTTTTAAATGTGAAATATGCGGTAAATCATTCATAGTATTAGCTTCACTAAGAACACACTTGATTATTCATAGTGGGGAACGCCCCCACATATGCGAAATATGCAATAGAACATTCACTCAATCATGTAATCTGAAACGTCACATGCAGATTCATAGTGGCAATCGCCCCCACAAATGCCAAATATGCAATAAAACATTTACACAATTGGTTAATCTAAAAACACACATAAACATTCATTCTGGAGAGTGTCCTTATAAATGCGAAACATGTGATAAAGAATTCCATTCGACAAGTGGTTTAGCAACACATAGACGAATACATACTGGAGAACGACCCTACAAATGCAAACTATGCAATAAGTCATTTAGAGAATCAGTAGCTATGAAAAGACACACGCTCATACATTCCAGGGTTCGTGGTCATAAATGTGAAATATGCAGTAAATCATTCACATTCCTACATTCTCTAAACTCACACTTTCTTATTCATACCGGAGAACGTCCGCACGAATGCGAAATATGCAATAAGACATTTACACAGTTAAGTACTCTGAAAGCTCACATGGGCATTCATTATGAAAATCTTTCTTATAAATGTGAAATATGCAATAAAAAATATACTCGGGCGCGTAATTTGAAAAAGCACATGGCTGTTCATAAAGGAAAACCTGATGAAAATCAATGAAATGTTAATTAGCTGAAACCAACTCTGTGTGTAAAATAATTGTTTTTTTTTATTGTAAAGTTTATTACTATAATACAAATATTAAACATGTAAATACATTAATATAAATATTTTCTGATCCTTGAACCTTTTTATCCTTCTCTATTTTATGTTATCATACTTTGTGTATGATTAATGCAAATATTCTTTAAATTTCTGTAGGGTGAGCTATAGTAATGGGCCGAAAATTAAAAATGAAAATGTTTACTTATCTATGCCATACTCCACTAGGTAACTTCCCGTAGGGTAAGTTATTGTAATGGGCCGAAAATCGAAATTCAAAATTTTTACATTTCTCGACGTTTTGAAGGTTTCTGAACGTTTTGGCATACCTCAGAAAAAATGGATGTGTGTGTGTGTGTGTGTGTGTATGTATGGATGGATACAAATTTCCAGTCACGTTTTCGGACGCACGGATCAACCGATTTGAATGGTTCAAAAAGCATTCGATTTCTATTGATAGGGAAAAGAGCTGATTAGTTTTTGGCGAAGGCAGGTCCAGCCGTTTCGGAGATACGGAGCAAAGAGTGCAGAAAATAGAAATCGACTTTTTGAGAGAACGGAGTATCCAATTTGAATGATCTAAAAAACATTCAATTAGTAAGAGGGAGAAGCGTCTATTAGTTTTTGGCAAAGGCAGGCCCAGCCATTTCGAAGATACGGAGCTAAATATATGTAAAAAATGGCAGTTTTTGAGAGAACTTAAGCGTCCGATTTAAATGATTCAAAGAACTTTCTGCTTGTCTTAACAAAATAATAGATTTTGGAAAAAAAATTCTTATAATTTTTTTTCTTTTTTTTTCTTTTTTTTTCAGTTTTTCTTGTATATCGAAAATAATTAAGATTTTATTTTTATTCTGACTAAAGTTCTAATATAACTTAAACAAATAATTTTAAATTTGCAATTCAGTTTATATAATTCTTATAAATATTAGACAATGTTACAATATTTATAATAATCTATTTGAAAACATACAGTATCTTCGAACATTTCGTTATGGTACGGGAAGTACCAGCAATTTGCCTTAAGACACGATGTCACCCATAGATAAACAAGTATAATAGATCGCTATGTCTGGCGGTTTGACGTTACCTCGATTGAAATACAAATTTTTAAAAATAGATGGCAGCACATGTATAATATTTTAATTACCCCTGGTTTTACTTCTTAATTTGTACGTATCGTATACAGCCCCAAAAACCTGAATAATTTTTAATATTGGAAATAAGAACAAATCATACGAAATACAAAATATATATTTTCAAAGATATTACATATGTTCAAAGAACAATTAAAATTATGTTTATATTAACAATTATAATTACAGTTATGGAATGTTTGAAAATATAATAATTATTATACATAATTATAAAAGTATTATAATTTCACAATTATGCTTAAATAATATTTCAAAAACTAAATATCTAAGTGAAAAAAATCACAGAAGTATTTAACTAAACTAAGCACAAATAACTGACTAATATTAATTACTTAATGACTAATATTAATATATTAAAATCTTAAAAACTAAGAAGAAACTACAAGCACAGAAGCACGCAATGAAATTACAAATTTAGAAGGAATGACAAATAATACAAAAAGTTAAAGGGTTAAGAAAAAAACAAATAATTTGTTAAAAAGTACAAATACTTCACAAACAAAAAAGTCCTAAAAACATAAAATATATATATTGATATCAAAATTGAGAGAAATTCAAATTCCTAGGATTAAAACTCATTTACGAGACAGTGTTCTTTATTAATTCTGCATGTAATAGTTATTTCGCTATCTAATGAATTAATAGTAAAGTTGCATTTAACAAAACCTTTGAATAGTTTCTGTACGAGTGTTTTATAACATTACATTTAGCCATGTTCCATCATGAAAACATTATCATTGAAATTGCCATAAAAGATCAACAAAGTGTTTACAATGAACAGAATAATGTTTTATGCACATACAATTGTTTATGAATCAAAAGATAAAAGCAATATTTTTGATTCCCAAGGTCGGTAACAAATATATCTTGAATTTAAACATTATATTGGGATGTTACACAAGTTTTATTTGAAGAATATTATAACACTAATCTTCAATCAAAATACATTAAAATATTATGTATGGTATAGACTCTCTTTATAAGTGTTTACATTTGCTAATGTAATAGATAATCTTTTTAAACATAACAATCAACTTACGTTGATGAACATTTAAACCAATACTAGTTTACTTTATAAGTGTTTACATTTGCTAATGTAATAGATAATCTTATTAAATATAACAATGAACTTACATTGATGAACATTTAAACCAATACTAGTTTACTTTATAAGTGTTTACATTTGCTAATGTAATAGATAATCTTATTAAATATAACAATGAACTTACGTTGATGAACATTTAAACCATACTAGCTGAATAACTGTTTTGCAACTTCAACAATATGAGATTCAATCCAATCATATAACAATTCCGAAGATAATGGTATTTCATCAAACATCAAAACACAGTATCTGCTACTAATACTTTTTAAAAGAAATAGCTGAACCTAATGTTTTAAATAGACACTCTTAAATACCGCTATACACTTGTATCTCTGAATGCAAATTTCTCAATGTTTGAGGACATGGCAAAATAAATATTTGTCTCCAAAAATAGTAGACCTTTGGAAACTTTTTGTACGACTTATTCCTTAAATTATTGCATTGTTTATGAATCCTTCTTGTCATTACATATTGCATTCCTTAGTTGTCAAAAGTACTCCTGCGCTTTGTTCGTGCATTTTGCAGCAATTTGCAGGTACCCCCAAGACACCTATTCAATATAATAATATGTTGACATATCTTGATTATATATAATTATTGCTGCAATTATTATTAAAAAATACCTTTGCGGAAACTTGTATTGGAATAGCTAAATATTTTAACCAGCACTTGACTACGTACTATAAAAACACTTTGCCATATTGAATTTCACAAATGTTCACTTAAACAAAATTAATTAATTAGAAACAACACGAGTTCAAAAAGTTAGGTTATTCGTACAGCCATACAGCGATCAAATACTTGACAGCCACTTGCATGAACCGTGAACAATTTGTAGTTGAAATTGAGTGCACATGAGCCATCTGTTTTTAAAAATTGAAACTACTCAGGACCAAAACAGTGCAACGCGCATTTGTTCGAAGATAACTCCCCATGATGTCACCCACCCATAGATAAAAGAAGAGTATATAGATCGCTCTCTCGGGCCATATTTCGTTGCCACGTTTTTCGGTCAAAACTTTCAATTTGCCCGGGTTAGTTCCCTCTCCCAATGTAGATGGCGCCAGCGTCGGCCATGGGTGCGAATATAAAATGCTGAAGAAATGCACCAATATTATATAGACCGTTTGAATTCAAAATTTTTTTTTAAATTAAAAAACCAAAATTGAATATAAAAAGGCGTATAATTTCAACAATGACATGTTACATTATACTATTACAATACATATTTATAAGATATGCAATTTGCATAAATGTATATATTATATATTTGTATATATACACATATATAATGTGTACTGTAATATAAATAAATATATATATATATATATATATATATATACATTGTATATATATATATATATATATATAAATTGCACATAAATGTATGACGATTAGTGAGCTTTATAAACTATGCGCAAATAGCATATAAACGTACATAAATGTATATATTATCCACTGTGTATGTGCATATATATATATATATATATATATATATATATATATATATATAGAATTTTATGATATGAGTGGAACGAATATTAATTGTTTAATATGAACAAAACAGCACTCAGATTTGTTTAACACAACTTTATTTTATGATTACAGACCATGGTCTCGAAACGTCTGTAATCATAAAATAAAGTTGTGTTAAACAAATCTGAGTGCTGTTTTGTTCATATTAAACAATTAATATATATATATATATATATATATATATATATATATCATATATGATTACAATAGATGCTACTAAACTTTATAAACTATGTACCAATGGCATAGAAAAGTACATACATGTACACATTATATATATATATATATATATATATATATATATATATATAAATTGCACATAAATGTATGACGATTAGTGAGCTTTATGAACTATGCACAAATAGCATAGAAACGTACATAAATATTATCCACTGTGTATGTGCATATATATATACATCATATATGATTACAATAGATGCTACTAAGCTTTATACACTATGTACAAATGGCATAGAAATGTACATACATTTACATGTATATATATATATATATATATATATATATATATATATATATATATATACATATGGTTGTTCAATGTCTTGTGTGGACAGGGTGGTGTGTCCAAGCCTCGCTTTCTTGTATTCAAAAATAGCCCAATTGCAGCACTGCAAAATGAAATGGCCATTTCATATCACACACTATTCTTCCCTCAATTGAGATTGAGTTTTAGCTCACAGACCTGCCCTAAGGCACAGACTCCTATTATGTGTGTGTGTGTGTGTGTTTTCATGTCAAAAAACTATCTAAATTATATATTTTTTTCTAGATTGCTAGAAAATTTAAATATAATTTAGACATTATCTATACCATATAACTAAAGTATTGAGAATTGATCCGAATAATAAATACCAAACAAAAGAGATAGAAGTTACTAAAACTCTCTTCATGCGCTCAAAAGTTAACTTAAAATCCCAGCAACAACAATTCAAAAAGGTCATAAATTTATATTGCAATCAAAAAAGAGAAACATATTCGAAAATAAGGAATAACATTTATGCCTAAGATATTCCTGTAAATTAACTCTGTTTATATTCATCTTGGTGCTCAATCAAATAATGATAAGTTACATTAAATCTATGTATAGTCTCTATCTGAAAACCTTTTCTGCACATTGCGTTAATCTGCTTTTAAATGTTGATCAAAATATCA